ATATATAAATAAAACCATAGACTTCAGCTTCACAGGAGAGTGCAGTGTTACGGAAATAATAACATCCTACTGAAAACACATGGGAAAATTCAGGAAAACCTGGGCATCGCAATGTCAGAGCCACCCATAGCGGGGTAGCTAACTAAGGTGCATAGATATCAAGAATAATGAATTTACCTGTGCTATTTTTAAACAGTATGAATTTTAAAATTTGCTTCAATGTTCATAGCTATATGTTATTTCAAATGTATTAGAAATTCTAACTTAAAACACAAAATTAAAATTACAGTGGTACCTCAGTCCATGACATTCCGAGTTCTGGGGACGATGGCCGGGGTCCTTTTCATCACCCAGTGGGGAATTTGCCAACAGAAGCAAAATTTTGGCAAAGGCTTCTGTTTGTGAACTGAAGTGTTTGTGAACTGAGGTATTGCTGTATTTTTATGTCTTGCAATCTAATAAAACCAAGTTTTTGGGTAACAAATATTTCTTTCAAAAAGTTACTCAATTTATTTTTAGAATCCTATTTACCCTAAAGAAAAAAGAAATCCACATTTTGAACTAAATGACCTGGTCCTGCTGTCTGTGAGGCCCGACCCCTTCCTCCAGTGCTGGGGCTGATTCTGCCCAGGCCACCCCGGTCTCCTGGCTTCTCCACAGGATGCCTCAGCCCTTCTTTCTGGAAGGATTGCCTCACGGTGGGGCCATTTCCTTCTCCAGCCTCCTGGAGCGCTTGCTCACACACCCTCGGCTCAGTATGTTAACAGCCGCCATCTCCCCTTCACATCCCACCTTCCAGCCCCAGGTTAGTTTCACTGTTAAGTTGTCTCCTGGCTTCTCACCCCCAGAGTGTAAGCTCCAGGGCATTCCGTTGTTCTTTTTGTTTTTTGGTTTTTGTTTTCCTGCTGCCTCCCCTCCCTAGCACACGGCAGCATTCAAGTACACGTTCAGTGAATAAATGAATTGCTGGTCAACTGTGTTTTAAAGTCACACGTTATTTCTTTCCATAGGTCAAGCGTAATCATGGCACCGCCTTCCCCGGGGTATTTTTGTTAGTCCATGTTTGCAGTACATAATGATTCTCTTCCTTGTGGGCGGCTGCTCCACGCACATAACGCGTCCCAATTCCTTTCACGTCCCCTTCCCTTCCACTCCCCTCCTTCTATCTCTTGGTCTCCTCCCTTTCGCAAAAGATCCATCTCCCTGTTTCCTCTTACCTATTTTGCTCTTTATTTATACTTTGGGTTTCTCATAGAAGGGAACTTATGTGATATTTAAGCTTGTGCGTCTGATTTATTCACATAATATTTTAAGTGAAATATTGGTCTCACCTGCCTCCAGTTTCCTACACATGACTCAGATTTATCCTTCTTTATGGCGGAGTGTACTGCGTTCCCTGACCAGTTGAAGGGGCTTTGCTCTGACCCATTCTGTTTGCTTCACGTTTCCTTTCTGAGCGTGGTGTACTTTACTGTGTCTTTGTTTTTCAGGCAGGGAGGAGCTGCTAGTATTTGTTCACACGCCAAGTACTCTAGAATTAGGCCTTCTCTGCAGCATGGCTGGTAATTCTTAGGGAAGATTTACCTGCTCTGGGAAAGGAATCTGCCTTAGGAAAGGAATCTGCCTTAGGAAAGGAATCTCAGAGATATGCTAGTTATCTTCCCTCAAAGCTAGGAACATCTTGATGTTGATAAGCACCAACCGTTGTAAAAAGAGAAATAATCTTTACTCCTCTCTGTTCCCACTTGTCTTAGGTGCAGCTCAGATATTCTACCAATATCCAGGAGCCCAATGTCTACAGGTATGTGTTTGCTTTTATTAAATATTTTTAAAAGTTAAAGTCATTAGATAATTGTCGGCAATCTTTGGGCAACAGTTTGGCGTGTCACTGTTTATTATTAGAAATCCTCCTCCTCCTCCTGCCTTCCCCTAGTCTTTGTGCAGAGGAAGAACTCTGCTCGGCTGACTTGGGGCAGTTCCGCAAGGCACCTGGCTTCCAGATGGGCTGTGCGGGCTGCTGGGCTCTGCTATTTCCTTTTCCACCTGCAAAAGTCTCCACATGCACTGGCCCCTCTATTCCTGATATCACGCTCCAGTTCACAGAAGAGAAAACACACCTGAAGAAACTTACGCAAGACTCCAGCTACAGCAGAAGTAGGACGAGAGCTACATGCAGGCAGCTGGTGTTGCGGGCTAACGAGGATGTGCCTCTTTGCACTTTTGCCTAAAATTCATTTAGGCAGCTGAGCGATTTCCTTTCTGTAAAAGTTACATACAGCAGCAGACTCACTTACTACTGTAATTCCTCTTAGCCAAAACAGAATTGATAACCGGAAAATACGAAGCCCTGTTTTCTTCTTCTCTTCTCAGTGATAGCTTTCAGTTCTTGACAGCAGACAGCTGAGGGGCTCGCAGTATGAGGGTGAAGATGCACGGATGCCTGGCGAAGAGTGCGCCGCACGCCGTCTTAGGTTTCAGAATCACAGCCAGCAGAGCACACACAGGAGACAAAAATAGGGAAGGACTTCTGCAGAAGTCTTTTTAAAACTTTCCACTTGAGGACACTTTCTACTTTGGTGAGAGTGAGGCCAGTTTAGTCATACAGTGCATATATTACTAGTTTGTTCCAATTCCAGGAAGTTGCTGGTGAGGAGTTTCTCCCTGGGGTCCCCTCCTCTGGCCCAGTGAAAAATCAAAGCAAAATAAAATGCCAAGAATTCAATGCCTGGTACACATGGGGCTTTCAGTCAGTACTGGTTTCTTAAAACTTGGAAGCCAAGACTTCAAGTGAAGTACAAGTGGACATGTAATATATATAGCACGAAAACCAGCCAGAGCAACACCACCCTGCGGTCCATCTGGCACTGTGATCAGCTGATGGCAGATCAACATCACTTACAGGCACCTGCTCCCTGCACTGCGGGACTCTGGCCAATTCCCCTCACCCCCGCCCCTGTATCCCAGAGCCGACCATGCAGACGGGGTTCTCCAAGCTCCGGGGCACTGGCTTTCACAGGCTATCACTAGTGCAGGCCCAGTGGAAAGACTGGAGGGTGCAAGGTTGGGAAGTGTAGGCATTGCGTCCGGTCGCTGTCTTTCCAGGGTGTCCCTCTCATCAGCTGCATCTTTATGACTGCCGTGAGCAGGGCGGGTCTGCTGTGGCTGCCTGTGCCCTGAACCACCTGCTCTGCCGCTTGGCTTTGTCCCTCTGGCTTAGGGGTAGTGACGACTTCCTGCTGTGGTGAGTCTCTGGTTCCCTGGGCGCCTGTTTCGCTTCTGAGCTGTTTCCATCATGTGTGTAATCAAGTTCTGGGTCAAATTCCTTTTGTTTACTCAGAGTGGTTTCATGTCTGGACCTTGCCTGATGCATTCTCCCTTACTGAACCATACTGCTATGTACGCATGGGGGAGCAATATAAATCATTTATAAAGACGTTACAGACACTTATAAAGCCTGAGGCTGGTGTAACTCAGAGCCAGGAAAGCCAGCTTGCACAGATGCACTGTTGACCCCGGCGTTTGTCTCTGGCCTGCTTAAATTAACGCTGCTTCCATTACACCACGAACATACTCAACGCCAGCTGAATAGAGCAGGGGAATAGTTTTTTGTTTTTTGGTTTTTTTTGGTACCAGAATCAGACTCAGGGCCTTGCCAGGCAGGCGCTGTGCCACTGAGCTACATTTCTGACTTAGGAATAATATTTTTAGCAGTTATCAATAGCAATTCAAGCAGTAGTTTAGAAATTATCTAAATGAACATGAATGAAAATAATAATTTTGGAAACAGTAGAGAGGAAAAATGCATAAAAATATAAGAAATAAATGGGGGAGTATCTAGCGCAGTGCACCCCATTACTTAGGAAGTCTAGATTTTTTCAATGTGCATCTTGCCTTGTGATTTTTATTATTAAAATCTTAAGAGATTAAAATCTCTTAAGTAGTGAAGTAAGTTGCTGATGACACGGCAAAGCACTTTTACTGTCTTGAAAAGGTCAGGCGACAAGTGCAAGGACCTCTGTTTTGAGGTTTCTTTCTTTTCAGGTACATTTCCCACAGTCAGCATTTTAGTTTGTAATCATCAACTCTTCAAGGTCCCGTTTCTTATTTAGAATATTATAGTACTGACTCAATTGCTATTAGAGTATTATACAGGGATCTATTTCTCTTTTACACGCTGCAACTAGAACACTAGTTAAAAACCAGTGGGGAGTCTTTGAATAACTACAAACGTACCCCAAGTATAAGGTGGGAAGTGTTCATGAAGAGGTAGGCCCAGGAAGACACTGAATTTGTTCTAGTGGCCTCGCAGGCCTGCCAAGGGGCATGCGCAGTGCAGCAATTACTAAGGTACCACAGCTAGAAGAGTTTGAGAAAGAGCTACAGCTCTGTCCTTCTAGGGCTTCCAAGAAGTGAATTACTTACTTGAATATCTGACCGTTCTCAGATTTAAAAACAAACAACAAAAATCTATTTACATGTGGCAGAGGGCTGTGCTATAATTAAAAGACAAACTATTTTATCTTAAGAGAGAATGATAGCCATTTTCCTTTTGTTAATTTTTTGTTTGTTTGTTTGTTTTTGTTTTTGTTTTTTGTTTTTCTCCGGTACCAGGAACTGAACTCACGACCTTGCGCTTGCCAGGCAGGCGCTTTGCCGCTGAGCTAAATCCCCAGCCCCTTGTTAAATATTTTTAAAAAGTGCTCAGGAGACAGTCCTTTTTCTTAAGAAAAGTATCTGCTTTCTTTGTACTTTTTTCCTGGCTGATAAATACTTAGAATTATTTGTTCTTATTTGTGGCTTTGCATCTGTGTGTGTGGAGAGGGAGGGACACACACACACACACACAGAGAGAGAGAGAGAGAGAGAGAGAGAGAGAGAGAGAGAGAGGGATTGACTGCATATTGCTTTGGTGAGTTGTTACCTCAGTTCTGCTCAGAAACTCCTGTTCATGTTTATACGTGATTTCCGACTGTCACTGGGCATGCCCTTTGCCATTCTTAAAATTTACTTCATGGAAATAATCACATATGGATGTAAATATGTATTTAGCAGGACTGATTACAATAGTCAAAATTAGAAGTTTACATGCTCAAAAATAAATTTGGCTCGCTAAATTCTAGTGCATTATATATTTGAGAACAATATAGCATTTCGGAAGATAGAGAACACAAACTTTGCAGCCTCCAGGCCACTCGCGGTGGTCTGTCTCCTGTGTTATGTAGAGAAAAGATTTATCTGCTTTTAGTCCCAGTGTGGTCATCTGAGGTGATGGCACCGAGCTCTTAAGCTTGCTGTGAAGATTTAAAGGGGAGCCACGGAGAGCTCTTTAGGGAGGATCTGTCATTCTGTAGCCACACAGTTTGCACAGCTATATGTACATGATATGAAAAAGTCACCAAAAATTTCTAAAATTACACATAATCCGAAAAGACTGTCATGATGTCAGCCAAAATATGCAAAGCAGTTGCCTCCTCAAACTCAGATTATGTATGGTTTTTTCTTTCCGTGTCTGCTGTTTTCACACTTTTTACATTTAACATGTATAATGGTATATTGTAAACCAACTTTCCATAAGTATCTCTATATTTCCTATTTATGAAGATTGCTGGTGGGTGTTCATAGACTCATATGGATGTGTGTACATGCACATGTGATATTTGAGGTCCACGTGGGAGTTGCACGGCTGACTTCTTTGGCAACCCCAGACTTTGTGTGTTGGCGTGTACTTTCACCGCTTTGCTAGAGTAGATGACCCTTGTCTTGGTTTAAAAATGCAACCTAAGATACAAAATTATTTCATAAGCTCATTCATGTGTGCAAAAAGTCAGAGAACTCAGAAATACACAAGGGAAAAAGACACCATCTCTTCCTGAAGCCAACTATCAGAGGATAGTTTTCATACTGTTCTGGACTTTGCTGTTTTGATTTAACAATATATCTTAGAAGTCTTTCTTAGACCACATAAATCTATGTCTGCATTTATTTTTTAGTAGTTGTATTTCATTCTCTATCTGGGATAAACTATGTAATTTATTTGACTACAACTCCACTTAGTTTGCTTTCAGTTTATTCAAAGAACTGTACTGTAAGGAACTTCTTGTAATATATCTATATCTATATTTGTGTATATGCCTAATTTTTTCCGTAGGAAACAGTCTTAGAAGTGAAATTGCTGAATCAAAGGGTATATGCATTTGAAATATTGGTAGATGCTGCCTTGAAAAGGATTTAATGAATCTACATAGCTAACTATAGTACATATAAATATGTATGTATAAATATAATCCTGAGTTTTGGCAACACTGTGTACTGTCAAACTTTTAAAATTTTGACTAACATGTAAAAATTGATATCTCATTGCCTTAAATTGCTTATTTAAAGATTAATGAGATAGAGCATATTTTTTATAATTGGTTTATTGTTTTGTTTTTGAGACAGGATCTCACTTTATAATTCAACCTGGCCTTGAATTCACTTTGTAGCCCAGGCTGGCCTTGAACTCACGGCAATCTTCCTCCCTCAGCCTCCCAGGTGCTAGGATTACAGGCGTGCTTTTTATCATTGACTTATAGATGTTTTACAAAAATTCTGAATATTATTTGTTTCAGATATTTAATTAAGTTTAAAATTTTGAGATTTGCTCTATCATTTCTCTTTTTTTTACTTCAGTTCAGAGTTTTTTCCTTAGAAAAGCTCCCATCACCCCAAATTATGAAAGAAATCCTCCTTTTTCTTCCAGTATTTTTGTTTAAAAAAATTATATTTTTAATTCATCTCAAATTTACTCATTGGTATAGTGTGTGAAGTTTTTACATTTATGGTGTTTCTTCGGCATTCAATAGTCTGTTTTTGATGGTCTGAAATGCCACATTTACCATCTATGAAAGTCTTGTAGATGCAGGAGTCTGGCTCTGGTTTCCTGTTTTACCACTTTGATCTCTCTGTGTTTCCTTACCAACACCACACAGATTCAGTTACTGTCACTTTATAAGATATAACGTCTATTCGACAAATTTTCCTTCTTCATCTGTTTGTCCCCCCAAAATTTTCTTGAGTTTTCTAGCCCATGAATTTTAGCATCAGCTCATTAATAGCTTCAGTAATTCTGTTACAATCATGATTTGAATTACATTGAATTTGGAGCTTAATGTAGATAACATACATCTCTATCCTCTTCTGAAACCAAATAAATTTTATTGTGTGTATTTAAGTTACATAACATGATGTTATGGGATATACATTATACATACATTTAGTGGAGCAAATGAACACATCCATCATTATTTCATGTGTTGTACCTCAAGCCACTGAAATCTACTCATTTAACAAGAATTCCCAGAGCAGGAGTTTTATTTCTTACCATTCTCCTGTTGCACTCTCTGCGCTTGTTTACCTTACATATTTGCTACTTTGTGTTCTTTGCTCTGTATTTCCTCACTTCCAGCGCCTCCATCATCCTGGGCAATGTGTTATTTTTTATCTTTATGTATTTGAACTTTTTTGCTTCTGAACTTTTTTGCAAGTTAAATCAGGCAGTGCTCATCTCCCCTCCCGTTCCCCGGTTTTGGCTCCTTTCACTTAGCAAGCTGCTCTTCCGTGTTCTTCCACGCTGTGACAACCAACATGATCTCCTTGTTTAAGTCTAAACAACATTTCAGCCTATTTCTTCATTTATTATCTATCTAATTTATTTTGGTTTCTTTACTCACTTGTCCATCAACAGGCACTTTGCTTCTATGTCCAGGCTGTTGTGAAGAGTGTGATGACATGGGACAGACTCATAACCAGATGGTGTCTCATGTCTTTTTCCGAGCATGGTGTTTCATGGCTGGTCACATGGTAGTTCTTGTTTTAATTTATTTAGAAACCTCCACACTCTTTCATAATGGCTGCGCCAGTCTACATTCCATGGCCAGGGTGCGTGGGTTCTCTTTTTCTCCATTCTGCCCACATTTATCTTTTGACTTGCTGGTAATAACCATCCTAGTAGAAGCATCTCCTAGAGTTTTGGTTTGCATTTCCCTGATGATAATGGTGTTGAGCATCTTCATACACCTGTGGACCATCTGCACGACTTCACTGGAATATGTCTTCATGTCCCTCGCCCATTTTTAGTTAAGTGTGTGTGTCTTCATGTCTGTCAGTTTTTCTTCATAGAAATACATTTTTGCTACATATTTTATAAATTTTGTCAGGGTTATGGAAAGGTTCTTTTTACCCATTGAATTTTTTAATTGCCTTTATATAGAAAATATATTGTTTCTGAATTTGGGGGGGGCTGATATTTTTTAATTCTTTCTATGTTCTAGATAGAAGCCCTTTGTCTGAGGGACA